GCCTTAGACTTATTGTGTTATCGTGAGCAAACAAAGTTTCAATATTAGAAATGCACAAATAAACAATATAATAAGTGCTAATATGTAACTTTGAACTTGCTATAATACTTCAACCTTCACCTAATAGACTACGGATTTGATTCGGCCCGCCATTCATTTGTTGATAAATAAGAGCAGTAATAGAAAGTGGTTTTATAATATTGAATAAAAGCAAGAACGTTAAACATAGCAAAATTCAAATTTTCATCTAAATGGACTTGAAGTTATCATTCGAACACCGGCGTGGTCCATTGTCTGAGAGTTACTTTACCATACAATTTCAGTTTACGTTCCCCTAATAACGTTTTATCAAAATCAACACAAACAACGTAATCATTTCTATCGGATTGCAGGTACTAAGACTATTTGCACTATCAATAGATATCAAAATATATCGACACATCCGTAATTTCTTATTAAATGCAATTATTGCAATTTGATATAAAGAGAGCTTACTTTAGTTAACATATTGCAGTCTAGTACATTTTAAATATCAATACGTTTGTTTATGTTGACTTCTAATACGTTTCCTGCGCGATATCGGAAGTTGAATTTAATCTTTATTGCTCTGTAATATTTAATGAAAATATCTTCCTAGAATTATTCTGCACATACTTTTTGCACGCGATTGACGTTATTAAAATTGACAGAAAGCAGGAGAAAGAAAGAATAAGTACATTCAAATGTATATAAGGAGCTACATTCCAAATTGAGAGATTAAGGTGTGTCATCGTTTCTCTTTGCTTCCCTTTTTCTGTGAGCTCAAGAGATTCTACTTGTTAAATAGAGTATGCATATTATTGTGTTGTTGGCGGAGGTGTAGGTGGTTCGTCGTTTGAGTTCTGAAAGCATTTATAAAAAGTCACATGTAGGTACAACAATATAATTAACAAGTTCATGTGTAACACTACTTACACGTCCATTAGCATGGTTTTTAGTGTTATCATTCCTCAACCGACGATACGAATTTGGTCGTAGTGCGTACATCATTACAACAAACGCAATGATTAAAAAAGTCATCAGAAAATTCGAAGACTGTGCATTTCGAGGTGTCCGAACTAAAAAATTAGTTGTCAATGAAATATTAATAATCAATGAGTTATTCCCGCAAAATATGCTACATACATTGCGACAAGTTAAGACACTCGTTGTCTGTGCAGTAGTCCTGATTTTGACGCAACTAGAATAGTAACAATATTTTTGCAAAATTAATTATTAATACAAAATTGTATGTATACATCAAGGTAGACAATATTATAAAATAAAAGCGAAGTCAAACAGAAAAATTATATTTTTACGAATTCATGTTTCTCAAGATAAGTTACGAAACATTTGATGAATTTAAGTTGAAAAAAAAAATTGCCGAGTGAGGTAAATAATGATACAATGAAGAAACACTTGTGTGCAGTATGAACAACCTTCATTTCCAGGACAGCAACATCCTACGTCATTAGTAAACATCATTTATTTTATAACACTTTTTGCTAATTGTATGTCAAAGAATAAATTCGATATGTAAGGCATTCTAGCAATTTTGTAATTAAAGTTATTTTATTGCGAGGAAGGCGGGTAAGTGACGCAATATATAGATTTCTCATGGGAAAACTAGGTCGTTGCCACTTACGATGAAAAACAGTTGCTGCATAAACAATTCTTGATTCCATATGCTTTCGCAAAGATCCTCGTCCATTGTCACAGATTTTCAATTAAGAGCTTTTCGTCTGAAAAAAATGGTAAGACTAGCAAACAACAAGGAAATAGAATAACTGTGGTAAAGGAAATAAAAAATTACGATCTGGCGCAATTTTTGCTACACGTACTTTACTCATATCTACAGTACAACCATTTTAAAAATACTTCCGTTATCGCTATCTCAAAGGAAGGGAAATTGTATGCAATCGTGTTCTATCTAGCATCCAAGCGCTAGAAGTAACGTAACGTTATTTGGTGTATTAATTGCATAATAACGATGCATTTACCCGCAGTATGCGAAATGAAAACTTCATATTTTCAGATTGACCATAATCTCCATTAACTCTAATATCGTAAAATATTTGCAAAATTCACGACCCTAGATACCTTTTACGCGGTTTTTTATTGTTTCAAACTAATACAGAATATTACGTAAAAATATTTAACATAAATTTTTATCGTGATTTTATCTATATTTATGCACACACATAAATACCAGAAGTTAGAACCAGTTTATGTCTACAATATGTAAAGAATTTTCGCGATCATCTTTTTTGAACGTGGAGCCACATATGCAAAAATATTTTATTTATTTTTTCCTGATAAATAAAACAGTACTATTTGACAGTTACATCATAATTTCTAGAACAATACATTATTATATTGACATAATTAATGTATTAATTGTTGGATAGAATATAATCATACATGTACAAAAATCGAACGAAATAGGGTCTATTCTTAAAAATGTTATTATACGATATGTATACATAGTACTCCAATATGAACAGAGTAAATCTATAGACAAGCTCTACGATGGACAAAATGATAGAAATCATATTTTTTGACAAGTTATCCACAACGTAAGAAGAAAAATGATGGATAGATTTATTCATATAATTACTAAATGGATCGGACACCAAAGGCTTTGACAATTTTGTGATATTACCTTACAAGTCGTCAAACAGATGACTGTCGAGACAGATGGAACTTCTAATAAGGTTTTGCTTATCTTATCACACAATAGGACTGAACGATTACACTCTAACTGAAATTGTTACCTTTTTAACGCGATGAAGCTTAATACTGCAAGTTAATATAGATCTGCACCGTATTTACATTTAACACGAGCCAGCCATTACGCTCGTTGTTCTGCGTTTCGAAGATAATATGCGTGTTACATACACAGAAAATTCTCAAGAATGCTGAGTTACATGCATGCATACATATATATGGATGCATTCGACAGCTTACTGAAACCTTCACGAGTTCTGATTGGCTCAAGAACAACCAATCGTGAAACATTAAGTGTATGCAATTCATATGTACATACATACAGGCATAGTTGTGTGATACATCCCAGGCGAAGCTTCGAAATTTATTCTATATATTTTACTTTATTTTATTTCATTATTATTATTAAATCTTTACTTAGCAAAGTAGTTATAACATTGAATTTGTATCAAGGATATGTTAATTGATATTAAGGATTACAATTTACATATATATTAAAAATGTTTCTAACTATGCTTTTTAATAATGTTACACTATAGCTACGAAAATTACAAAGGAAAATATAAATAACAATTCTGGAGTATATTGCTATGAGGAACTTCATCAATGCAAATGTTCTAATCACAAAGTTTAGTTGGTCAATTAGTTGGTCACTTTCTGAAATGTTACTCCAATTCCAAGTTTTGGATCTGAAATACAATAGTAACGTAATTTTACAATGTGTAATAATTTCAATTCAACAGAATTACAATTGTACGAATAAAGAGAATATGTACCTCTTGAACCTTTTGCATCTCTTGTGTTAATAAATTATGTAATATTTCTTGGAATCTCTGTCTCAATTTAACATTTTCTATATTAGCAATTTCAAGTTCTTGCTGCTGTCTTCGCTGCCGCAATTCAGCTAATTCTGCATGCAGTGTTGCGAGACGTGTTTGTAACGAATCTGAAATATTTAAATTAAAAGATATTTGTTGTTATACAATTTTACTCATTCAATTAATAAAATATAGTTTGTCAATTTCGAACAATACCCTTTGATGTTGAAGCACTGACTGATGGTTCTGTGAAGTTGTCTGGAAGAATATACTCTGGTTGGAATGGTTCCAATTTTGTTACTATTGTTGGTGTTGCATCGACTGGTTTCTCTCCTTCTGCTTCAGTATTATCATTTTGAAACATTTCTTTACTAAATTCTGTAACGAGATTGCTGTTTGTATTTGTATTATTGTTAGATCTTTCTGAATATGTGGCTTGTAACGAATTAGAATCAGACACTCTGCTATCAGCAGAAAGACGACTGTTTTCATCCAGTTCCATGACATTTATGTTCGCTTCTTCATCATCATCCTCACTGTCACTCACGGCTTCACCAAATATATCATGTTCAGCTACAGAAGAAAAAAGAAAAATGTTTGCATGTGAAGTATTACCCTACTTCTTTGTCACTTTTGTATGTGTATTTGTACTACTCACCAACATCAAGACTTTGAGAAGTGTTGCCATTAATACTTTCTCTTTTAGTTTTCACTGTACCAGATGATGATACTTTACTGGGTTTTGATTGATCTTCATCTTCACATATTACCTCCCACTTAACATTAACAGCGTCATTATCTACCCTTAATAAACGTTTAACTTCCTTCTCAATTTCTGGAGCTTCCACATATTTCTTTTTCAAAGTTTTTCTAAACCTTCTGCGTCTTACATTCTTAGTAGGGGGTGTTACTCCATGTGGCCATAGAAATTTCTTGTCTACTTTATTTAGATCCTTTTTCTTTTGCCTTACTGGTGATTCCTCATCTGTTGTGGTATGATCATCTTCTTCTTGACAAATTACCAACTGTAAACCACAAATATCAGTGATTATTTTAAGCTTTCTATAGCATACTGATTATGTTAATAATGAATCTATTTAATAATACATTTTTATACCTGACATATATCTGCAGTCTTATAAAAACTTTTATTATCAATAGTTTTTAAAGATTCCACGATGGTAGGTAAGTCGACAACCTAAAATTTGATGTAGATATTATTTTACATTACTGTAAACTTATTATATAAATTTTACCTTTGTATGAAGTAGCCAGTGATCAAACCTAACCTCTCCGTAACGCATATCAGGCTCTAATTTTATGCTCAGTCTATCTTTTAAAGGTAAACCACTTCGTAAAGTTTCGCGCAATACTCGCGATGGTTCCTTGAAACGAAAAAACATGTTTAAAAATATATTTCGTAGTTTACAAAAATTGACTGCGCAACATAACCTCAAATGATTTCAGAGAAAACTATTATATACTTAAATAAAATAGAATTACCGGTGGTAAACGTAAGACAAACTGGCTTTCTAATTCGACTGGAGGTTCACTGCGATTTTTATAATCAGTATTTGGATGGCGACTCATATTTTATCTTTGTGAACGTTGTGCTTCGATTCCGATTTTAAATAATATACACATACATTTTATTCAATCAATTTTATATAAATACAGTCACTTAGTAAGGATTTTTATAATCCTTAAGTAAATAATTAACAAAAATCGAATTGCAATTATCAAACAAAATGAAAAGCAATAGCTATGTTCTGCCTGACATTAGTAAACATATTTACAAATCAACATCTCCGAACTGAGCGCAATACGATCGGATAAATTACAAACGTGGCGCTGTAAAACTGTAAGCAGATAACGCGATTACATATCGCAGATAAGAAATTAAGTGTGAAGAAATCGATAACCGTTGTGGCGAAGAGTTTATTAAATTTATTTCCAGTGTTTAATTGAATTATTTTAAAGTGAAGTAAAAGGTATAGAAGAAGAGGAAATATGTCCGTCTGTAGTGACGTCAGTTATGACGTAATGACTAACCAATTCACTGCTGCATTTTAATCTGAAATATAGATAGCGTTTCACTTAGAACTCTCTTAGTCCGGCTTTGAACGTTACGACGTATTGTTTAAACATTTGATTTACAACTCTTGATACTAGTACAACAACTTACGTAAAAATTGTTTCTTCGATACTCGGTTATTCAATATTTCACTGAAGTGCTACGTGATATACAAAAAGTACACATGGGTATCAACATTAATAAGTTTCGGTAAACAAAGTTGTAATTATGATACTTGATCTTAATTATTGAAACGATTGAACCTCATTCAATGCTTGTAAAGTGACACTGTTGAACGAGTACACAAGTCTCGTACACTTTTTTTCTCCTTAGGAATAACATCGAGTAATACGTGTACACACATTGCGCACTAGTGTCAATAATTTCGATCCATCGAATTATTATTCACGCGCAAATTTCTAAAATTCTTTCTCGAAAATGATGCTGGGAAGAACGCGTGAAATGAATTAAAACCATATTCTTTCAAGTAGAACGTCGTATTCTTAGCTCGGTTCAATATTTCATTGATCGATTGAATAATGAATTTGATTGGATCGTATTAATGTGTATAATTGTTTCATTGCCGCAGCGGAACGGTCACGTTACATTAGGGATCAGTTCTCAACAACGGTTGGCCAATATATTCATTCTCGTTTGCTTTTTCATCAATATCAAAGAATGCATTTACAGTATACAAATTATGCGTCGTACGTTTTCATTTTGAATAATTTAGCAGATCCATATGTTTATATTTAAGCTATAACAGCGGTTGATCAATGGAACCATCATCAGACTTCGCGCTCGCGCCGTTGTTCTGACGTCCGTGAACACTCGGTTTTCTTGCTTCGAATGTTTGCAATTATATCTGTGAAAAACAGCTTGACCCGCAAAGTGCGTTGGACCCATAAATTCATCTAGTCCGGAATGGTGAATTTAATAGTACAAGTTTCTTCACCATTTCTGTTCTAATATTTGTTTGTCGTGTGTTAATTAATCGTCGCAATATAAGAAGTATTGACTGGTCGAACGGTTGTTTGAAATCAGGTAAGTCACGAATGCTTTATATATAATATTATCTTTTCTTCATTAATTTGGTAATAACATCATTTGTGTTACAATCAACTGATTGATTCTTATAATCGCGATAACAAAGCGATAACGTTCCTAGAAGCGTAGTTATTTCGCAAAGGAACGTAACGCAAGTACTTGTTATATTGCAGTATAGATAATTAACTATACTCTACATTTCATGATGACATGCATCGCGTGTTGTGTCGCTTGTTGGTCTATATGTTATTAGTTTAATTCCGACAATTACTCGTCGGGTAATGAATGTGTTTTAATTTTTTAATTTTTGTTTCATGTGTACACGTCTGTTTGTATATGTTTTATTCTACAAAAATACACATCTGTAATTTAACAGTGCTTCTATTTGCGTAAATAAATACATGAAAATATCATGAATTATTATTTGTGTTGTTATATTTTAGTATTTTAATGTACGAATGTTTATTAGATCCATAATGAGTTCCCAACCAATTGTGGTACCCGGAGGCGACCACAGGTCTCAACCAGAAACTCATTCTGTTTCTGTTGGAAGTGCTTCTGATTCATTTAAAACCATGACACCACCAAATGTTAGCCGATCACTTAGTAATCGTAAGTATAACTTAGATTATATAACACTTACGTATTGTTTTTCTGTTATGAACAAGGAAACAGACATCTTACAAAGGCTTAGAGATAAACTTCCATTCGATAGCGGTAACAATTTTCACTTTATTATCTATACAAACAGTTACATACCATATATTTTAAATAAAAGTAAAAAATATTTTTATGTAATGTAATATTTTGCTAAAATTAAGTTAATCGTGTTTAAATAACTTGAAATTTTTCGTACGCATTGGTAGTCTATTGTAAGTTAAAAGTATTTCTTAAATGTATACTTCTATTTTCAAAGTTTTAGCAGTAAGAAATTGATTGAAGTATTGATAGTATAAACGATTATCGTTTAAAGGTATTAGTGACAGTGGATGTGGTACATTACCAAGTAAGCTAGGTAGGCTTATTAATATGGATTGTG